ATATACATACATATATATGCTATTTATTATACAATAGGTTTCATTATAATTTTAATAATTATCTCTGAAGATCATTAATACCAGTACATATTTATTCTATTTCTTTAAATACCAACTATCAACATTTTAAACTTACTTTTGGATTACAGTACAAAATAAAAGAGAAGCACACCTGCTCAATTGTCATCTGTACTGCAGCATGGACGGGCATACTATAGCTTGGTCCGGCTCTCGCAGAGCCCCAACCACTTTCCAAACTGAATCCTAAAGCTGGAATTTACAGACAAAAAGAATAAAATCACCAAAAACAAAAAAGAAAAGAAAGAAGTAGCTTTATAAGATACACTGCATGAAAAATTCCCACTGGCAACCAGGCAAGGTGGTACATGCCGGTAGCTGTAGTACACTAGGAAGCTGAGGCAGACAGATCTCAAGTTCAAGCCCAGCCTGGGTAGTTCAACAACAGAGCAATATACTACCTCAGTACAAAAAAATTAAAAAGAGCTGAGAATGTAGCTCAGTTTGAAGGCCTTAGGTTCAATCCCCAATACCACCCAAAGAAAAAAAATTTCCCTTAGGGCTGGAGATGTATGTAGAACATCTGCAGAGCATATTCAAAAAAAAATTAAGGTATGCATTCTACCACTGAGTTACATTTCTGGCCCTAAAACAAATTTTAAAGATAAATATTAATCATTCAAGAAAATTATTAAAATAGTCCTACAAAATTTGAATAATTCTGCCAAAGAAATAACCTTTTTCATTCTCTCTGGAGAGATTCTTTTTGTCTAAAATTTATCAAAAAGAATGTAATGCACACCTGTAATCCCAGCACGCAGGAAGATCCCAAGTTTGAGTCCACATGGGAAACTTCACAAGACTATCTCAAAAAAGGGGAAATAAGGGATGTACTCAGTGCAAAAGCATTGAGGGGAATAAAGAGAGGGTACCTAGGAATTTCCTGTGTTTTTTTTTTTTTTCAGTACTGGGGATTGAACTCAGGACCTTGTGCTTGCAAGGTAGGCGCATTACACTAAGCTAAATCCCTAGCCCACTCCTTCTGTATTTTTATGGGTTGTGACTGTATAGTTACAGGCATGCACTCCATACTGATGTTTCAATTACCTGTAATATAGTAACCAAATATCCAATAGAGGCCCCATGAGATTATATGTTCAAGTGACCCCAAAGCCATTTTAATTTGTGTAAGTACACCGTTTGATGTTTGCACAATGACAAAAATCAATGAATGGCAAATTTCTCAAAAACCGTCCCTGTTGTTTAGTAACCATAACTATTTCAAAAGAAAACTTCAGAGAATTCATCAAAAAGACTCCAAAGAATCGTAATTTGGAGCCTTCAGCACAAAGCAGTTTGGCCACCCAAATTCAAAGATAAATGTTTTGCAATCCCTGAATCTTACAATATTAAAATAATATTAAATTAAACCCTAAACTTACTTTTTGGTGCAGGACCCAATTTAAATCCATGTTTCTTCAACTGATCTAAAACTGCTTTTTTATTTTCTTCTTTTCCCCAAAAAGTCATATGCAGAGGCATGGTAAAAGTATTATTTGCACCAAAAGGAACTACCCTATTACATTTAGGGGAGAAGAAAATGGGAAATTAGAAGTTATTTTTTATTCTATTTAATAATCTGTTAACTACATGTCCCAAGTTGGTCTTTCAAATTTTGCATGGAAAGAAAATAACAGACTAGCTGGGGGTACCTTAAAGAGCAAAAACAGAATATGAAATAAAATCAGCCACAGTAGAAGGAAAAGGTGTTTTTTTGAGAACAGAATGCCAAAAGAAACTGAGAGCATGGGATAAAGCTATTTTAAAATAAGAGGATAGGGTTGGGATGCCTATTATCCCAGCTCCCAGCACTTGGAAGGCTAAGGCAGGAAGTTTGAGGCCAGCCTGAACTACATAGTGAGTTCAAGGCCAACCTGAACCACAGAGCAAGACCCTGTCTCAAAACAAAACAAACAAAAACCCACAAGGATAGCTTACATGCAAGACTATCCAATAAACAAAATAGTACAGCTATGGCTAACAGAACCACTGAAAAGTAGCAACTCACTAATTGCCAAGAGGGTGAAGAATGATTTACAAAAACTATTTCTAATCCAAGATTCACTAAAAATTAATTCTCAATATTTGAAAAACACAATGAATTTTTAAATTTTAATCCCTGGGGCTGGGGATTTAGCTCAGTGGTTCCACCGCCTGCCTTACAAGTGTAGGGACCCGAGTTTGATCCCCAGTACCAAAAAAATAAATAAAATAAAATAAGACAGTGCTAGTGCTGAGCATTTATCTCCCAAACTCACCTGAGATTAGGATTAAGAATATCCCAAGCATTTGGCTTGGGGTATAAATATCCTAAGTATTTAAATTGAAATCAGAAACACAAATGCCTATGAGAAAAGTTAATCAAGATGAGAATGAGAGCTTTAAAAAATAAAAAATAAAGAGGTGGAAAAATGAGAGCGCATGCCATATCTAAAGGAACTTTCTCAGTTCTAGTCAAAGGATTGTCCTATGAAATGAGTGTCCAGCATTGCCAGCTCTTCCATTAATCAAAAGTACTTTTAATATATATATGTTTTACATTTAGGAAAAATTAATAGGTAGAATATCTAGATTTAGACACTGGAAATAAATGTCTAAAACACTGTGTAAGCAAAATTAAACATCGCCATCTAATAAAAAAAACTCCCAAATTTATGAATTGAAAGGTTCGAAAGATGATACCCACTTCATAATATGTGAACCAAGGTCTATTTTCATCATGGTAATAATTCAATAGGCAAATAAAAGGACAGCTAATTGATGGCTGGGTAGTAGAGGCAGATAAGAGAACTGATATGAACACACAACTAAAGATACAGTGATAAGCAGTGTTATGATAACCTTATAAGCTCTAAGAAAAGCTCTTACAAGTTGAAAGGTAACTACAACTTACAATTATTAAAATTAAACTCTCAAACTACATTACCCTTCCACTTGTGCCAATTTGTTGTCCATGATATAGGCCAAAGCCGCTGCAAGATCTTTCTTTAAATAGCCAACCTGATTTCCATTCACATTGTTTACTTTAATCGCATTCTTATCATAAGTGTTATTAGGCTCTCGTTGTAATGCAACCATTTCATTATTATTAACCTGAAAAAATAATGAGCATTATATTATAAATATGAAGAGACAGTGACAGTTGGACTGTATTATACTTTATTGGGATTTGGATTTCTATTCATTTTTTAATGATGCTGCTAAACACTGCACACGAGAAAAATGTATTTGCTTGCACTCAAGCGAGCAATTAAAGAACAAGTTTTCAAATGATTCTTCTATATTATTTTCTAATTTATACTCATTGGCAGGTTAACAAATCCTTCACATTCACACTACCTAAAATTTTCAACACTAACTTCTGAAAAACAGCTAACCTTTATTGCACAGACTGATTTTATAAATCCTCATAACCCTATCAGTACTATCACGATCTCCATTTTACATACAAAGAAACAAACACGGGAAAGTTAAGTAACTCGTTCAAGGTAACAAAGCTAAAAAATAGCTAATATTTGAACCAGGCAGGTTTGTCCCTGGGTCTGAATTTTCCAGAATCTTAATAGGGATAAAAAGGCAACAAGAACTTGGGCATGAGAAAAATATATTGAGCCTTCAACTCAAGTGATTCTCTTTATTTCACTTGATTCAAAACCATGTAAGGACCAAGGATTTAAGCTCAGTGGCACCACACCTGCCTCGTAAGCACAAGGTCCTGAGTTTGATCCTAGGTACCAAAAAAGAAAAATGCAATTGCAAGGGTAACAGAAAATAACAGAACAAGGACTTCCAAAAAATCTTTCCTCCATAAAGTAACAGAAAAAACTTTTAGAATCAACTCTTTCAGAACTCTAGAAACCAAAGGCTGACAGCAATCTGAGTGCTTAGTCAAGAAAAATGGCTGAATAGCAGTGCCCTAGTCCTAACCCCAGCTCTGCATTTCTCCAGTAACTTTTAACAATACTGTATCGGTCTACTGGGATTGTTGAAGCTGAACTCATCAGAGGGCAGCAAATGAAGTTATAGGTTGACTGTTGTAGCACGGTTCTGGGTAGGGTGATGGATTTACTGAAGAGGAAAGATCCAACAGGCTTGCAACCTGGATGAAATAAAAGGGGGAGAAGGAAGCTTCACCATCTCATGCCTGCCACGTCATAAACTGTTTCTCCTTTGCCATGCTGCACTGCCTTGGAACCAGCCAACCACAGACTAAATCCTCTGTAACTCCTTTAACTTAAGGTATCCTGTCTTGGGAGCACTAAGAAAATACTAAGATATCTTTTAAAATGAAGACATTTCCAGAGGAAAAAACTGAGAGACTTAATCACTACCACATTTGACCTGCAAGACCTATAAGATCTACAAGAAACGAGGTTCTTCAGGGTAAAATCATAAAATACTAGACATAAACTTGAATTCATATGAAATTAACAGCACAGTTAAGGTAATTATGTGAGTAAATATAAAAAGTATAAATGTATTTTTGTTTGCAATTTCCCCTACCAGATTTAAGAATACATGAAATAGTATTAAACATACCAATAAACTTAACAGAAAAAAAAAATAAAAAAGAAATAGTATAGTGGTACCTCAGCTCATGAAAGCTTTAATTTGCAAACGATTTGGTCTGCAAACAAAAGTGTTTGGCAAATTTTGTTCTTGTTCATAAACACTGCATCAGGTAACAAACACAACCACTGCCATCTTTCCCAAACACAATCATGGTCATCTCTTCCAAAACAGTAGAACAAATTAAGTTCAAGCCCAGTATGAGCAACTTAGTAAGACCTTTTCACACAATAAAAAATTTTTAAAGGACTGCGAATGCAGATCAGTGCAAAGGCCATAGGTTCAATCACCAATCCCAAGGGGGAGAAAGTGTATTTTATCACCTGTAATCAATTTCAATAAAATTAAAAAATTAAATAAAGATTAAAAACCTTAATTTCTATTACAGTATTTTTTCATGAGTGATCAACTCCCAAAATGTCCATGTAAGTAATTTAAAATAAAAGAGTTATTCTTACACAAAAAATTATACCATTTCACTAAGGGAAAAAAATGATCACAATAGGCATAATATGATTTTGTTTTTATTAACAAGATTCCAATGTACATGCATATGATTACAGAAAGAAGTGTAGAAGATATAAATAGTTGCAGATGGTACTCTTTAAAAAGATTTCATGCTTTTGGGCCAGGAATTTAGCTCGGTGGTTATACCACCTGCCTCTCAAGCACAAGGTCCCAAGTTCAATTTTCGGTACCTTCCCGCCAAAAAAAAGATTTAATGCTTTTTAGCTATTTCAAAATAATGAACATGTATCACTTAAAATACACATTTTAAAAAGTAAAACACTAAGTAATGACTATTTTTAAACAGCACAGATTATTTTACTAGCATCATAGGGATTATTGTAAGATTAACACATAGTGATTGTCCTAAGATTCATAACAACCATAATCTAATGCTTCACAAAAGTATATAACAACTTAGGAAACAATTCAACTTTTGGGGAAAAAATCTGAGTAAGAAAGCTCAGAAATGGACATAAGCAGGGTGTGGTGGCACATGCCTATGATCATAGTCCTGAGGAGGCTGCGACAGGAGGATCACTGCAAGTTTGAGGCCAGCCTGGACTACACAGTTAAGTTCAAGGCCAACTACATAGCAAGACCCTGTCTCAACACACACACACACACACAAGAAACGAACATAATACAGAAAATATCAAAAAAGAACTTTATTTTCTAAAAGAATTTTTAAAAAATCATTTCACAAAGACTAAAAAGAACACAAGGTAAACAAAAGTGAAAAATATGGTAAGAAAATTATGAAAAACAAAAGGGAAAACTATGAAAAAAAGGATTTCAGAGACAGGAGGCAATATTAAAGACATAAGTATACTAGATCTAAGAAAAGGAGAGACAGAGAATGAGTACAGAGTCCCTAAAGAAGAAAGAGAATATGGAGTTCCTGAAAAAAAACTATAATTATCAAAAATTTTCTGAAGTAGAAAAATTTATAAAACTAAGACACACCCTAATGAAATTCCTGGACTTTCAAAATAAGGAAAAGTATCTTTTAGTTATTCAGGCAAAATAATTTTTAACTCATTTCAGTGGAAGAGAAAATATTATTGGCATCAAAATTCCCACCAACATTTTGTGTAACATTAGCATATGGAGAGAAAATATGGGTGAAAGATATTATACAGTGGATCCTCAAGTTAAGGCAGGCCTGACTACAAACAAGTTTGGTTAAGTAGGTTAATGGAAGATTCATCTGCCTCTTCTTATCTATAGCATGTACCCAGGTAAACATCCAGATCTGTGCTGTATAGATTTACAACCAACTTGAGTTACAACCAGCCACTGGGAACCAAACAAGTTCATAAATCAAGGGTCCAGTACACTCAGCCAAACTGCTCTTCAATTATAAAATGCCGAAACTGCGAACACACAAAAACTGAAGAAATATTTTTCTTTCCTTAGTAATCTAAGGAGAGCTAACGCATTTCAATCACCAGACAATTTGAGATGCTCCAATGTAAAATAAATATGGGATAATGAAAGAGTAAATAAATCCAAACATGAAACTCTACACAAGAAATTTATAGAACATACTTAAAGCAATTGAAAAACCAACTTGAAAAGCTTCAAAAATAGCCAGACCAAGTGGCACATGCCTGTAATCCTAGCTGCTGGGAAAGCAGAGGAAGGAGGATCACAAGTTCAAGGGTAATTTAGCAAGACCCTGTCTCAAAATAAGTAAAAATAGCTGGAGGTAGAGAGCACCTTGGAATTTCATCTTCAGTATTACCAAGAAAGAAAGAAAAGAAAGGAAGATGAATATGGGGGAATGAAAGAACTAACAAATCTAACAGGATTCCACAAAACACCAGACCTGGTTTTTATCCCAAATCTACAACATGAAAGAAAGAGTGAAGGGATGTCTAATGATGATGTAGGAAGCTTATTTTCAGATATTTTTAAAAATCAACCATAGACATTTTTAAATAGGAGAATCTCATTATAGACTATTTATTACATGTGGTAAGGAATTATTTTGTTAATTATGAGAAAAAATGTTTCTTTTTCTAGAAATACATAATTCATGTAAAATGCTACATTTGGAATTTGCTTTTATGAAAGGACAAAAAAATAAGAATCAGGTACATATACAAATAACTTGTTAACTGTTGAATATGAATCATAGGTATAATGGAAGTTTATTTTATTATGCATGTTTGAAATTTTTCATAATAAATTAGATAAAATGACAGCTATATCATCCAAATAACAGAGGCATCCTAGACAACCATAACAAAGGCAAGTACTGACCACAGAAAGTTATACATGTTTTATACACACACATATATATATATATATATATGTGTGTGTATAAAACATGTATAAGTTTCTGTGGTCAGTACTTGCCTTTGTTATGGTTGTCTAGGATGCCTCTGTTATTTGGATGATATAGCTGTCATTTTATCTAATTTATTATGAAAAATTTCAAACATGCATAATAAAATAAACTTCCATTATACCTATGATTCATATTCAACAGTTAACAAGTTATTTGTATATGTACCTGATTCTTATTTTTTTGTCCTTTCATAAAAGCAAATTCCAAATGTAGCATTTTACATGAATTATGTATTATACACACAATTCAGAGATAAGAGATACAAAACAGACACAGGAAGAAAAGGTACAAGATATTCTTACAACAGGAGAAAAAAAGGACCTAAAAAAGACAACTCCCTTTCTTAGTAAAATCTGAACTTTTGAAATGAAAAATATTAAAGTTCAGAAATGTGTTCAGGGGCAGAAAAGAAAGCAATGGACTTAGAAGTCATTTTTTAGATTCACCATATAGAACCTGTGTATTTGGGTTTTTTTGTTTGTTTGTTTGTTTGTTTTTTGCTGTACCAGGGATTAAACTCAGGACCTTGTGCTTTTGAGGCAGGTGCAGCGCCACTGAGCTAAATCCCTGGCCCTGGGCAAATTTTTTAACCTTCTGGAGCTTTACTTTTCCAGTAAAATAAGGGGATAGTAGATGTCCCACATCAGTTACTGTAAGGATTAAGGGATAGTACAGGCAAAGTCTTTTGTATATTTTAAGTGTGACACAAAGGAAAAAGAACAAAAGTAGGTATGCTATCTCCTGTTAGCACATATTTCAATTAAAGTAAAATATTAACTGCACATATAGCTTTCTAATACTCGTTTTCTAGATTAATACCATAAATACATCACAACTTAATGTATTATCTATTTTTATACTCACTACTCCTGTGTAATAGCGTAGTCCAACCACATGACCTCGCAAAAGTCCAAACAAAACTGAATCTAGCTCTTCATCACTAGTTAGGAAGTCATCTGGAGGAATAATGTCTTGGAATTCAAAACGTGGAAAGAAAGTTGGATACGGAAGGCGTGGGAAATGTCCTTGGACTCCATATTGGACAGTCTGTAAGTACTTCCAAACAGGGTCCCTATTAAAAAAAAAAAAGCACAGAAAAACTACAGCATTTAACCAAGTATTTCTCAAAGACTATGGGCTAATCGTATTTACAAGCCAATAGTTTCCTCACACTTTATTTTAGCAAACAAAAATCTTATGTGGGAATCACTGCACAGATTAATAGTTACTCTGGTTAAAGAAGCAATTCAAAGAGTGGAGAAGACTTCTAGAAACCCTGCTCAGTATTAGATCTTCTACCACACTCTTGCCCTTATTCAAAATGGAAAAAAATAAAAACAGTAGGGGCTCACAAATGGCTTTTGTAGCGAAAATTATTTATGTAAATGTAAGTAGTGTCTGTAACTACAATTATATATGGAAATGTCAATGTTGCTTAATCTAGAAGACTTGCAAAACACAGAACTATTATTATGTATGAAGCTGTTTGTATCTTTTCTGATAATGTATCCAGCATTCATTATCTTTGAACAGAACACAGTTTATTCTGGTATCCCACTACGCCCTCATCGTAGAAATTGACCTCAATCCCCTCTTACCACTTCCCCATTTCGATGGATTAAGGATGCTCCCGACCCCCTTTTGGATGATTATTTCTGGAATGGGCACGAAAACCACTTGGGGTGATGAAAAGTATGATGTCTGTTGGGGACCTCCAGGAAGCTTCCATTCTCCTAAGAACGGACATGCGCTCTGTGCTTTACGTTCTCCTTGAACCGCGCGTATTCCTCTTTCAGTTCCTCTGCAAATTCATGTTTGCCAATCTGTGCATGCACAAAAACTGTGATCTACTTAAGGACAAGGGCGATCCTATTCAGCCCTCTATTCCGATCCCAACGCCTAGCGCACAGTGGGTATCTGATGAACGTGTTATTGAATAAAGCACCGACCGAGAACCTCTGAGCACGAGACCTCCGCCCCTCAGTGCATGACAGATTTCCCAAAGCGCTGGCACAAGACGCGCCAGAGGAGCCGCTCCTCGCCAGCCAAGACAATGCATTTATTTTTCCGGTGGCGTCATGAGCGAACAACACAGAGAATACAAACTGCGTATAAAGTATCGGGAACGCGAAGTAAACGCAGGGAAAGTCGGGTTCATTTGGGAAGCTGCCCGGCCATTAGCGCCATCGCCCCACCCCCTCCACTCCCTTCACCTCTTGAACATCCAGGACATGGCGCTGAGTGGGATGATGACAAGAACGCCTGGACGCCCCTGAGCGTTCTCGAGCCGCCTCAGGAAGCCTCTTTCCAGGCCCTGCAGCCCAGAAGTCAGCAGCAGATTCCTAACGCCGCTTCAAGAGCGCACCGCTATACCGTAAGACACAGCGCTTCCAGTCACACGTCGCGGCCGGCTCCTTGTAGCAACAATCCGTGAAACAGTCGCCGCCCTGTGACTGGCACAGGGAAACTCCAATCGTGAGGAGAAGCCTTCGGAGATTGACCAATCAGGATACGGGAGAGAGGGTAACTCCGCCCTGCAGTGAAATTCAAAGACCGTGGGGGGTGCGCGGGCGGTTTCATCCGGGTTCTTTCCGGCCCCTGAGCGGTCTCGGGAGTGCCACAGCGGTGCGCGGTACAGACGTTCTCGGAGTGAATCCCTCCTCCGAGCTGAGGGACCCTACTGCCCTTTCCAGTGTTTTCCCCCAAACCGTCAGACTAGCCCTGTTCTTCAGGCCACACCCTCGCCTAACATCTTCTCATCTGACCTGGTACTTGTGTCTTCCACCATGGGAGCTCTACGTTTTTCAGACCAGATGTTTGCGAGATAATTTTCCTTCGTTTTCCTGTGGTCATCCCTGGGCCCTTTAAGGTAACATTTGTTATTTTTAAGCCTGGTCAGAGTGGAAACAGACACAGATTTCAGAAAATCTGAATGGGAATGTAGAGATTTCTCCACCCCCCTCTGTTTTTAAAGAAAATTTTCATTTCTTAGTACAAGAAAGCCGTAAAATAATATTGACAAAGCTGGAAATGGTTGGAGGGAGCTGCTCCCACATAGGCATGTGGCCATCCATCAGCAGAGTATGGGAGGTGTTTAATAAAACAAATTTTCAAGAAGCGTTATCTTAAACTGTGGTAATCGGTTACCATAACTAGCAGTCGAATGACAGATTTGTGTGGGAAGGGGACAAGTTGAAGATGGAACCCAGAGCCCCAGCTTGTTAGGTGGATCTCCAGCCCCCAGTGATAGAATCTGAAGCAATTTATTACTTCCTTTCACTAAACAGGAAGTTAATGAGGAAGGTGATGACAATACCGTTTCAAGTTATTTAGTTATTTTAATTTCTTCTCAAAGTATTATGAGGCAAATGGCAACGCAGTACAATTTTAGTGTGCTGGGTTCAAAATACGTTACTGGAAAATACCTCAGAAAAAATGCCCAGGTTGATAATGTTTTGTATGTAAAGTTAATGAAGCCCTGCTCATTAAACTGAAAGATAAAATTCCAAATGTGAGAATAAAGCTCTTTCAAGACCTATAAATAAGGAGAGTCCCACGGCTAATGAATGAGCATATGAAGTAAAATTTGCAATTTAAAGGTCAAACTTCCATTTTGTCAATATTTTACATGCCAGGACCAGCACCTGAAGTTAAATACTCTTTAATTTAATCATTCTTTTTCGTTTTATTTTTAAAAAGGAAGTGTAATTTGTACTAATTTGATTTAAAAGTTACAACCGTTATCACACTAGAGGATGTTTTCTGGAAAAATAAACGTGTAACTGGACAAAGAATTGTAAAGGTGGCTTGGTGACTGTAGGAGCGAGAAGGAAAGGTAGCAGAAAAAGAAAATAGTGGGCTGGGGATATGGCTCAGAGCAGCACCTGCCTCACAAGCACAAGGTCCTGAGTTTGATCCCAGGCACCAAAAAAAAAAAAAAAAAAAAAAAAAAAAAAGAGTCATCACCAAAAAAAAAAAAAAAAAAAAAAAAAAAAAAAATGTGTCCTTACCCATCTTATTAACAGGATCTGGCATGTTGCAAATTCTGGCTGTTCCCGAAGTCAAAATGACATGTATAGCCTAGAACGGTGGCACACGCCTGTAATCCCAGCACTTGGGAGGCTGAGGCAGGAGGATCACCGTGAATTCAAGACCAGCCCAGGCTACACAGTTCCAGGTCAGTCTCAACTACATAGTGAGACTCTGTCTCAAAAGACAAACAAACAAACAAAAAAAGACCATGTATAAAAGGTGTATAGTTTGAGTTTTCTGTTTTGTTTTGTTACGGTTTTTTGGTTTTGGGTTTTTTTGAAACATGATCTGTCTATTCCAGGCTGGCCTTGACTCACTAGATAGCCCAGTCTGGCCTTGAATTCACAGTAATCTTTCTGACCCAGTCTCACGAGTGCTGGTCATTACAAGTGTGTGCCACCATGCTAGGCTGAGAAAGGTAAGTGTTTTCAATTGATCACGGAAATCGAGACAACCACGACAATGCAACAAAGACACTCGAATCATTGGATTCCAGAGCTGAGATGATGATCGTGGACCCCCCAACCTAACCCTTCCCAAGTTTGCCAGTCTGATCTCTTTTATTGGAGGGCACCGCTCCAGTTTTCAAGTTGGAGCCCTTTTGTTTTCCCTGCTCCCCTTTGTTAAGGGCCAGCCTGACATTTGTCAACTCTTCAAACTAACGCCCCTTACCATGTTCTCTTACTTTCTAAGTAAAGCTTTTTCCTGTAAATTTGCACTTTAGTTTTCATTTCCCATATCACTAAAAGCAAGAACCCGCTTTAGCTAGCAACAGAAGGAAAAGGAATCCAAAATTGCTTGAGCCACCCAACTGTCAGTCACTTTTTCCCCTGCCCTCACTCTCTGTGCAGATTATCAAGTCCTTCCCTTGTTTGGTCTGGTGAGTGAAATCCAGTGGCGTCTGTCAGCTGCCTCCCACTCCAGTCACTTCCCATGTAAGACTCGTGTCTCACTTTTACTCCTGGAGCGTGAACAGCCAAGAGGCCTTCACGATGCTGGGCTCAGCAGCTCAGCGAGGCTCCAGGAGCTTGTCCGATAGCGAGAGTCACCCAGGAAGGAACACACCAGGCAAGTTGGCTAATAGACCTTTATTAGTCTGGCCAGACGGCTCTCCCCAAGCCAAGTAGCTCAGAGAGGCGGCCAGCTAAGAAACAGAGGCCATTTTATATAGGGCTGAAAAGGGGGGTTTACACTTAAAACTTACAGGAAAAGGACAAAGGCAAAGAGTCAGTTGATCTGAGCTAGTGGTCGTCATGTACTAATGATCAGCAGAGTGATTATCCATTGTTCCATTTGCAACCTAGATCATCATAAAGTTCAGAACATTCAGACTACAGGCATGCAAGGAGTGGCGTGACCTGCCTTGGGTCTCTGTGTTCACTACAGTTTCTACCTAGTTTCCTAGCTACTTCAAAACAGCCACCTAACAATTCACAATTAATCATTAGTTATCCTGTAAGGGATGGGGGGGGAGCGACAGTCTCTAGGTTGTTTGCTGATCAAGATGGAGTCGCTCTGGTTCAGCCAGGCTCCCACA